GGAGGAGGAGGAGGAGGGAGGTGAGTTTGGCGATCCTGCTGGTTGAGCCTCCTGGAAGGCAGAGACGCATCGCCGACGCCGCTGGCGGCGCCGGAGCTGGGGCCGAAGAAGCCGCGCTCGTCCCGCTGCCCAGCTCTGACTCTGCCATGTATTTGGCAACCCTGCGCAGCGAGAGGGCGGGGATCGTCGCGAGCCCAGGTGCGTCCCAGGGTGAGAGCCGCAGCAGCACCAGCAGCGATTGATATTGATGCGAGTCCAAGTGCCCAGGGTTGTGTATACATCTGCAAGGGCCTGCATGCTTCGGGCACTGGCGCGCGCACCGCGTTTGCGCCCGTGGCTGGGGGTGCTCGAGCACCCGTGCATTCAATCCAGCTGCTCGTAGTGGCAGCTTGATCCGTGTGGCACTGGAGACTGTGTCATGGGGGGGCTCTTGTATCAGAGACTAAGCGTGAGGTGACTGCTGAGGTGCAGTCATCCGCCTCCATGACCCTTCTGTTCGCTTTGTGTACGGGCCCAGGCGACGCAGGGGGCTGCAATCGCCGTCTAGAAGGCATGCAGGCATTCAGGGGAGAGACCTGGGGAGAGCAGGTCGAGAGACCGAGACGCGGCTTGCGCCCCCTGCGTGGCGCCTGGCGTCCTGAGTCTCGTGGCGGCCGTACTCAATGTACTCCATTCCATTTCGCTGCCTGCAATTGAATAAGAAACTGAACGAGACGGTCTCGCCCCATCTCCTCAGCCTCCTGCCCTCGTCCTCCTGCTCCCCCTGCCTCCTCCTCAAGCTCCTCCTCCTCCTCCTCCTCCTCCTCCTCGCCCCTCCCGTCCTCCTCCTCGCCTCGCCCCTCCTCCTCTCCTGTGCAGTTTGTCTGTGAGTCATGTCCTCTCTTTGCTGCACGCTCCGCTTCCGATGTGTCTTCTAGTAGAGGTTCCCCTCTGCCCAGGACCAGGGTGCACATGCCTCTCCATTTCCCCTGCTGCCTACGTACCAGCTCTGTGTCATTACATTAAGATAGCAGGCGCTTTTCGGGAACAGATGGGCCTTACACTAAACGAAGTGGAACAAATCGAACAAACTTCGCAGCCTTCGCATGTTGGCCGCTCTCCAGGAGACTTTCGGTGGACCCGAGAATCTGGCGCCTCACTCAAAACTGTTCTGCCGCAGAGCAATCGCCAGAAAATGAAAAGGGCAACGAAGAGGGGGTGGGAGATATGGAAGATGAGGAGTGGGGAGGATGGGGGGTCAGTGAGAAGGGGAGGGTTGATGAAGAAGAATAATGAAGAGGATGGGCGACGCTGACCGACCGCCTGCTGTGGACCTCGTTGAATGTCCGTCCGCGTTGTCCGCCTCCTTCATCCATTCTTATCGCTCTTCTTCCCTCCCTCCCCCTTCCGTCATGCGTCCTCCTCCTCGTCCTCCTTCTCCTTTTTTCGTCACCACCCTTCCACCGGATCCCAGGAACTCGTGACATTCAGGGCGGAAGCCATGTTGTTGGGCTTTTTGGGGTACCCGAACATCTTGGAAAACCAGTGGGGAGGAAAAGAACGAAACCTGGGGCAAGCCAGGACCACAGATCACAGCAATCACCGCTCTTGTCGGGAAGCCGTTGTGCTTCAAGGGCTTTGCCTGATTTGAAAGCCTCACTTGCCTTACCTGGTTTCTAGAGTCCGCTCCAAGATTGGCCTCAGCTTGGACTCCCTTGTCTCGATCGATGGAATCGAAGGCGCTCGCAGTGGCCCTACCTTCCCAAGCCGGGGAGGCTGGCAGCACGGCAGCCGCGGCCGCGGCGTCTGCCGCGACGTTCAAGAATCAGCCCAAGACCAGCGACATCAGCCCCAGCCCCAAGTCCGAGCCCACGCCCAGCGATCCGTCACACGCGGCTGGGGGCAGCCAAGGCAGTAGTGCTGGAAGCAGCGATGGACCCGAGGCGAGCGGCGCTGCTGTCGTCCCTGTGCCGCGGCCTCTCGCGGCAGACGCCATGGAGGTGTACTTTCGTGAGCCAGCCGCAGGCGAGGTGGTCGACATGGCGAAGCTGTTTGGTCCCGACGGTGGTGCGATACGGTTGAGAAAGGTCTTTCAGATCTATGAGGTCAGGCCCAGCCCGCTGAGGATCCACTTCTTCAACCAGCAGGGGGAACGACAGATATTCGCAGACGAGCTGAACAAGCGCGACCAAAGTTCTACTCTCCATGGCTTGAAGGAGTCCATCAAGTCCAGGGGGCTCGTCCCTGGCGTGTCTGGCGAGCCGTGGTTCGTTTTGTCTGATGGGGAGGTGCCGCCGTATAAGGCGATCACTTGGGGGCACCGCATCAATGCAGTGTATGAGCTCCACGCAGAAGCCCCCGGGGCCTCTCAAGTGCAGACGGTTAAAGAGACTGTTCAGGCGGGCGTGATTGCTCGCCGTTTCACGAGCCGGATGCCCAAATTCATGCGGGCGTACATGAGGGACTACCACAACATGGAGGTGTTTCAGAGAGGCAGCGGGTACTCGTATCTAGAGCTCTTGAAGGAGGTGCCAGACATGGAGGAACGATCGTCAGAAATCCAAATAAATTGATATCCTATCCAATTTGGCGGGGTAGGGGACGAACGGGGAAGCGGTGGAGGGAGGCGCCTTGCCCTCCTGTCATACAACGCAGCCGAAACGAGGGTCCCGGGCCGCAGAGGAAGGAGGAGGAGGGCGAGGAGGGAGGAGGAGGGGGAGGGAGGAGGAGGGCGAGGAGGAGGAGGAGGAGGAGGGAGCCAGGGCGTGGCCAGTTGCAGCCCCCCAGGCAAGCTGGGCTGTCTTGAAGACCGAGGGGACCACAGCTCGATCGACTGACTACGAGAAGAAATATTGGGATTTCATCAAGAGCCGCTATTCCGACAAGCTCAACTCATTCGCCCATTTTGATGCCGCAAAATCGTTGGCAAGGCGCATCAGCACTCTCCAGATCGATCATATCGAGTGGGCGCGGAAGCACGTCGACTTCATGAACCCGCGCTTGCACCACCAGTCCGTGATCATGATCATGGCTCAACTCACATCGGGAATGCACAACTCTTTCAAGGCCTACATGTCCAACGAGGACGTCGCCATTCTGATCGGCGAGGCCATGAAGTTCTGCGTGCCCGTCCGCGCAGATCCTCCTCGGCAGCGTAAGCTACCATGGGTGTTCGACAAGACGGGCGCGTCCGTGTCCGAGCTTGCCTCCTACCTCACGTGCCCGATGGGGGAGACAGCCAAGGTCTACAAGCAGAGCGTTAGACCAAAGGCGAAGGCCAAAGGCAAAGCAATGGCAAAGGGCAAAGCGAAGCCCAAGCCTGCCCCTGCGCCCGCCGCCAGGGAGGAAGTGTCTCTGACTGTGGACGTGTCGCACCCAGACGCGAACGCCAACGCCGAGTCGAGGGATCGCTACTTCGGAGATGACCTCATGGCGGCCATCAACTTCACCATCAGCGAGACTGCCAAGGGCCAGGCCTCGATCATCGACCACCCCGCCATGGTCGAAGTGAAGAAGGAGTTGGTGAGCTATGGATTGGAATTCCTGTGGCAGAAGAAGGTGTGCGAGGGACCCAGCGGGCCCCAACCACGATGCGTGGGCGTTGTGGCAGACGAGGGCTGAGTGACATCCGAGCCAGCATCCGTCGCTGCCACAGCGTCCTCACCGCGCCGTGGTTTGGGCAAGTCGGGATCCTCGGAAGGTAGCCTTCAAGGGTTCGATCATTACCAAGTGGAGCGACGCCAGGAATACCTTCCAAGCCTCGGCCAAGGAGTCCGTGGACAGGTTCAGACTGCTGGAGACGGATTGCGGCGAGGATATCGACATGGAGGTTGCCGCCGACGGCGCCACTAGGGAGATCATCGAAGAATTGAGGAACTCCGCGCAGGCGCAGGTCACCGATGACCCCATCCGCGACCTCCAGGCCCGCTTCACGCACGTGACCGATGAGAAGCCCGTGCCTCTCAGCGACACGCTGAAACAGTACGTCAGCCTCAACCGCGTGTTCAAGGCTGAGGCCCGGATGCACGTGCGCTACGCCATGGCTGCCTCCTCGGTCATGGACGCTCTGGAGGGTCATTCCACCCTCGACCAGTTCATCGACTCGTGCTTCAAAGCGGCCCCGATGGGGCCAAGCATATGCAAGCAAACTCCTCAATCCTCGATCCTTCCTTTCCTCCCCTCCAGCCTCCCCCTCCCCCCCATCGGCATTCCTCTCCTCCTCTCCCTGAGCCTCCACTTCCTCGTCTCTCGCCCCCCGTCTTTTTCTACAGATCACAGAAACAGGGGGGGAGAACAGGAAAGATAAAGACAGAGAAAGAGAAAGAGAGAGAGAGAGAGAGAGAGAGAGGAGGGAGGAGTTTTTTATTTTGTAATGTCGCTCCCAGGTCACCAGTGCGGATGACCGACTGTTCTGCGATGCCGTGCTTGACATTCTTGCCGAGACCGCCGTCGCGGCCATGACCTACAGCGAGATTCCAAAGGCGCTGGTCGAGGCAGGGTTCAAGGACGCGGAGGCTCTGCTCCTCTTTGTTCGTCTGCGAGGCTCCTATATGCAGCAACTTGTACAGGACATGCTCGCAAACCAGCAGACGAAGGAACTCGCCGCTAGCGAGAGCGACGGCACCCTCCTCAGTGGTTCCATTGTGAATGGCTTAAACAAGCTGTCCGCCGAGGAGAGGGTCACCCTGGCGGAGGCCGATGGCGCTGTTCGCGGAGACAGTGAATGGCACGCCTTCTGGTACAATGTCCTGGTGGGCCTGGCCAAGGGCAAAAAAATCGCCGCGATCATTTCCCTTCAGCCGCCATCGCGCCGCTTGAAGAGGGAGAAGAGCAAGCCTGAAGAGAGAGCTCCGGCACCTGGCCAGGCCCTCATGGTGGATCCCACGAAGGGCGCGACGGAGCCGCCGATGGACCCGACTTTCGTCCCAGTTGATGCCCTTCTGAAGATCCCCGCCTTGGTGTCCATGGGCCTCAATATCAATGCAGCACAGGCGAAGGTCCGAGAGCCATTGTGGGAATAATGCGTCGATGGTTGCTCTTTGCCCCCTGGTTCGCCAGCTCGGCCAAACGCGAGCGCGCGCGTTTGGCTTGGCTTGCGAATTGGGGTTCAATGAGCCCGCGATGCAATACGCCCACGGGACGTCTCATGTGAAGGGTATCGAGAGTCAGCTCTCGGCGTGGTCTTGGGGATTGTTCACGAAGAACGTGGAGGAGTTCTCTGGGATGGTGGCGGTAGATCTCCAGAAGGTCCCCAAGACGCCAGTGTATCTGACAGACGACGCAGACATTGCCTTCCCAATGATTTTCGCAGCTCCCGTGACCTACACGCGCCCCACGAAGGCAACCTTCCACTTGACGTCCATGTTCAATGGGCAGATCGACTTTTACTTGAATGGTTCCTTGGCCAACGGCCTTCAATCGGACTGCTTTGTGCCAGCGTGGATGGTCGCCGTCACTGACAAGCAGAGCGATTCGAACGTCTCGGTGAGCTACGTCGAGTACTATGGCAAGATCAACGTGGCAGGCAGAATCGAGTGGGAGACGGATGAGTCAGTGGCTGAAGATGCCGTTCAAAAGAAGGTTGGGAGTGAGAGTAGGGCTGAATCGGTCAAAAACGGCACAATGACCCAGGAGCAGGCTGACGCGGAGGTGGAGGCTGAGAAGACGCTAGCTGAGGAGAACCGCAAGTGGATGTTCACCGCCAGCCTGCCGTACATGCTCGTCGAGCCTCAGAAGATCGACAGGGCGGCGGCCAGGACTGAACTGAGGCGCTTCATCACCCCCGCCGAGCAGGATAGCAAGCGGCGCAGGGCTGACGAGAAACAAGCGGTGAAGGCCGCTGCCACGGGCTCGGTGGGCAGCAACATCGAATCGCTCAAGAGGAAGATCGATCCCGCCGCAGCGGCCTCGCAGCCCAAGAAGGGGCGTTCTAGCGGGAGCAGTGGCGGTGGAGATGCTGCTCTCGTCAAGGCATGCAAGCATTTGTTTTCATAGAGAACGCATGCGGTACACGCTGTTGGCGATTTGTTTTTTGCTGGCACGATCCTGTACATAGCTGCCGCTTCCAGGCGCTTCACTCGCCGCGCCGATCTCGTTCGTTTGAGCCCAGAGGCTCTCCACTCTCAGCATGCATGCTTCGAACACGTGGCGCACGCTCCGCGCAAGCGCCCGTGGTCGGGGCGCGCCAGTCTCAAGCCTTTGCGTGCTCGGAAGACGTGGCGCGCGCTCCGCGTGAGCGCCCGTCGTCGGGGCGTGCCAATCGATCGCCCCGGGGGGCCTGGCTGCATGGGGGGGAGGGCAGAATGACTCGATCGAGAGACAAGGGACAGAAAGGGGAAGGTAAGGCAATGATGCGGCTTCGAGCGCGAGTTGCGCGCTCTACAGTTTTTTTTTCAGACCGTTCAAGGATGGGCAGGGGGGGCTCCAGCTTCGGAGACTAAGCGTGGAGGTGGTGCGTCGCGATTCGCGTGACAAGCCACCCGCCCCCTGCCACTCGTCCACTGGTCCTTGAATGCTGCATTCGTGTTGTAGCGCAGCGGTGGCACAGAGTTGAAGCAAGTACAGAACTCAATGTATTCCATTCCATTCCATGCAATGATCAACGAGCCAGCGCTTCGAAAGAGGAGGATGAGCTGCTGATGCTGCTCCTGCTTCCTCTGCTGCTGCTGCTGCTGCTGCTGCTGCTTCTGCTGCTTCTGCTGCTCAGGAGGAGGAGGAGGAGGAGGAGGAGGGGGAGGAGGAGGAGGAGGGAGACGAAGACGGAGGAAGGGGAGGCCCTCCTCCTCCTCCCTCCTCCTCCGCCTCCTCCTCCGCCTCCTCCTCCTCCTCCACCTCCTCCTCCTTCTCCTCCTCCCAGAACATATATCACCAGGGCCCTATTACTACATCCTATCTGTTCGGGCCCCCGCGAGCCGGGGAGAGCAGGAGATTCGGCCTCCTCCACCTCCACCCCCTCACCCTCCTCCGCCTCCCTCTCACTCCTCCTCCTACTCCTCCTCTTCCTTCAGCATCCCCTTGCCTCCCTGTGTTCTCTGCTTGCCACGACCCTCTCCCTCCTCTTCCCTCCTTCTCTGCCATCCTCCTCCTCCTTCTCCCCTGCCTCCTCCGCCCCTCTGCCTGCCTCGTAGCCTGCCCCCCCCTCAGCGCCGCGCGAGGCGCCTGTGCCGGAGCTGGCGCCGCGGCGCCGCCAGCGTCCGCCCCGCCCGCCAGCGGCTGAGGGCCTCCTGCCTGCCTCCCGACCCTTTCGGGGTGCGAGCGCTGGCGGGAGATCGGCGTCGTCCTCGCATCATCGTCGAATTGACGAGGTCGAAGGATGACGATAATGAGCAGGAAGGGGAGGAAAGGCCCGGAAAGATAGGGGGAAGGGGGGGATGGAGGAGAGACTGAGGAAATAGACAGAAGGAATAACCTGCAAGCTTCGACCAAGTGCCGCAGACCCGGCCAAAACGCTGAAAAACTACACAATAACAGTGGAAAATGTTAGAACAATGCGTAGACGTGCCTGTGACAGCAGGTTCATGGGCGCACCCGAGCCTTGAAGTGCCGCTGGGCCGCCTTAGCCCGGGCCACCTGAGCCCCGTAGGGTTGTGTTTTTGGCACCTGCCCCCTTCGGTGCGCAGCCCCCACAGTTAACGCACATCACAACCATTAAACATATTCTTCTTCAGCGGTGGAGGAGGAAGAAGAATATTTTTCTTCGCTCCTTTATTCAGAGCAGCTATCAGGAGAGTCAGAGAATGCCTTGTTCCGAGAAGGATATTAAACATATTCTTCTTCAGCGGTGGAGGAGGAAGAAGAATATTTTTCTTCGCTCCTTTATTCAGAGCAGCTATCAGGAGAGTCAGAGAATGCCTTGTTCCGAGAAGGATATTAAACATATTCTTCTTCAGCGGTGGAGGAGGAAGAAGAATATTTTTCTTCGCTCCTTTATTCATCAGAGCAGCTATCAGGAGGAGGTGCCGAGCAGCCGCCAAGAAGTTGGGCCGCTTCGCATTTCGAAAAAGACGGACTTAAGTAAAACAACCAACTTTCTCGTAATACTATATACCATTCCGCCCGTCTGCTCGGCTATCACCATCGTATCACCATAGTATCACCATAGTATAGTATATACTCATACCTCTTGCAATTGCAAGGGCCTGCGTTTCTCAATCCAACATTATTTCGGTTGCTTCAGAAAATGTCGAAAAAAGACCATTCTCAGATGGCTATTCCGACCATCAAAATTGTGAAGGAACAGAAGACATATAAAACCTTCATAGCACAGCTCCCCCATGATTTCGGAGAGGGCCCACTTCGTGCCATTGAGGTGCAATGCCAAGCCCTCATGTTACGAGGTAGTCTCGGCTTCGCTATCCTGGTTCCAAAACCAAACGGCGGCCATTGTTTGGTTTTCAGTTTACCTGCGAATGAAAGGGGTGACTACAGGCATGCAGCAGGAATGGTAAAGGACATGTTGTCTCGGGCATTCTGGGGCGGCGTGCAAGAAGTGCACAGGTTCCAACTTGAGGAAACAGAGCGCAGTGCCAACAGCACCAAGCATATGACGAAATGCCATATTTCCATACTAGGCTGGGAACAATATACATTATCACCGGAGCAGTACCTTGAACGCGCAGCTGCAATGACAGCTACAACGGCTACAACGGCTACAACGGCTACAACGGCTACAACGGCTACAACGGCTACAATCGATGAGGACCCCAAAGAGGCTTCGCCCATGCTCCAAAACGTCGATGATGATGTCCTTAGAGCGGCCATGAAGTCCGGAATTTTGGTGCCAGTTCTTATTCGGTATTTCGGATTGACTCCATCGAAACCCGGCAACATTGAGACCCTCGCCATCGAATGCAAGCACATGGATGATGATGAATGCAAGCACTTAGAAACCCATGTGTTACAGCTTCCTCAGTATTGCAGCTATTGCTCTGGATATGTGTCACTGAGCACAGGCGCTTGCATCGACTGCGACAAAATGGCTGATGTCCCCACATGTGGACAATGTGGAGCAGATCCATGCGAGGGCCGTATGATGCGACACCAGTGCACTGGGTGCCATACGGTGTTATGCAATCGTTGCAACAACTTAGCAAAATCGAAAATAGACCAAAAAGATGAAGAAGGCAAGCTGCTGGACATGATCAATGGTAATCACGAAGCGTCTTTCAATGATCAGGGCGAGGCACCATATGTTGCTTCTTTCAAGAATATTGTTGCGCTCGTGGACAATCTACCCGACGAGGATTTATTCGAGCCTAAAAGCCCAGCCTTGGTACGCCTGCTGAAAGACATTGCCGAAGATGAACGCAATCTACGGAATCTACGGAAGAGGGCTCGAACCTCTTGGGATGATGAGCATCATGGCAATCATGCGAAAGAGACAGTGCCCTCACGTGAAACATTGAAACATCCATTCTTATTCGACGGTGTGGAAACAGCAGAGATGAAACAATGCGATTCGGGGCAGATTGAAGAGGTAATGTTGCACAAACTGAAGGAGCGCGGCATCGCGCTGTGGTGGCCAGGCGCATCGCAAGTGACCATTCAGAGTCAGTTTCCAGCTTTTCTAGACCTCTACAAGGAGTTGTTCGGTGATTGTCACACAGGCGATCAAGGAATGCCGAACATGATCAACAAGAAAGTGCGGCCTCTATTCCAAAAGTTAGTATCAAACACGCTGCGTCAGGCTGGGCTCCAGGAGAAATTCGAGTTGCCTCAGATGACTAATCTGGAACCGCATGTGTGGGAGCACTTGGAGCGTGTAATTACAGGAAATTCAAAAAGAACGAAGTGTCGATCATGCGCCAAGCACTTCAACACCAAATTAGGTGAGGTGGTATGCTCCGAAAAGTGTAGAACGAAACACCAGGCTGCGCATAATGGCTTGGTTTGTACAACGTGTGCTAATCCAATCGTTAAGAAACACCCTGACAGGTATTCCCTCAACCAACAGTTCTACAATCCAGGGGGCAGCGCTTGGTATCCAGTCGCTCTTCTGGAGATGAGTGAGTCCGAGACCGAA